TTAATGGTAGTTAATGATACGTGTCAATCATCTGACATAACCAAAATTACTATAAAACATCAATATGTATTTCTACATCAAACGTTATCTTATATAATCCCGTATTAATTTTACGTATCGGAATAAATTAAACATTCAATAAAGAATATACACTTTCCACCATCTGAATAACGTAATAATGATAATAGACGCTCATATCGATACCTTCTTTGTTTTTAATAGCCTCTGATGCAGGTCTGTCAGGTCCCTTTTACGTTTCTTCTTTTTTGTTCGGACTTTCTGTTCTTCCCGAATACTTTTACTATGTTCATTATCCGTTATGTCACTTGCCGCACCGTCGCCTATCACTTTTCCCATTTCACGAAGCGAGACAAGACGAATTACATACGTTTCGAATGATCGAGATCGACGAGCGAACCGATGTTTGTTTACTTCTCGTTACCTCGCTTCTTATGGTGGCACAAATATCACGTGCAACGACAATATTATCGACGTACCGTATCGTGTTCTACAGACGATAAGGTTATTCACTATTGACCGAGCGATGTATAACATTATCGACCCTGAAATATCGCGTTTTTTGCGCATCGGTAACTGAGACCGTTGCAGCAAGTGGTAACAATTGTCAAAAATCGAATAAAGAGAATTCTGCAATTGAAAAATATTCCTAGAATTCATACGTTGAATTTAACTACGTTAGTTATCATGGAATTCAGTATTTAAAAGTCTCCAAGGTTTATGCACTGTATACATGTGCTGATCTAGCTGGCTTTGAGCAAGGATAGGCAAAAGGTTCGATAAAAACTGTCGAATAAACAAATGAACTGTGCCCTGTACAGAAGAACTGAGGGAATATATTGACCGGGCATTCAGTATTTTGTTGACACGCGAGCTGTGTAGAAGTTTCTGATGGACGTTTGATATGATGTGAAAATAGTAGTTGTATTATTTTAGAAAATTCTTTTTCATTAATATTTCGTGAGTGGATATTTTATCTTGCGTAGTTTTAAATTTTTATTAAAAGGTACGATAGTAATTTATGAGACAGGGAAATCTGTAGTTTTTAATGTTTTAAACAAGCACATGTAGTGTGGTATGTTCAAATACCACACGAGTCAACTGACGGTTTATGGGTAAAATGATATTACGGTTATATATTTTAATTAATGCATCCAGATGCAGTTTTATTATTAAATACTGTTAAATAAATCAATAGAATTTTTTTTTAAGCAAAATATTTTAATGAGAATTATTTTTGGGTTTATTAAACCACTTAAGTGAACATTCGTGTCGACGCCATGTTAGTCCTATTCGAATTGAATTTCGGAATGCACACGTTGTCGAATCGGGAGTTATTTTTCTTGTGATTAGTGATTTTATGTGTACTAATATCAGTAGTGTTTGTGTCTGTGCAAATTTTAATGTGTTTTAAGTTAATGGTGATAATAATCATAGGTTTGGATATCATCTTTGCAAGGAATTTGTAATTAAGAATTGAAGGGTGAGTGCATTCTTTTTTCGAACATTTGCAATTATTTAGTAATACTGTAATATTATATTGTTAGTCATAAATTAAGTACATATATAAAGAATAAATATTCCTAACATATAAATACATTTTAATTATAAATTTCTGGCATAAGAAAATAAAAATTGGTATGCAATAATCAGTGACTATGTTGTCCTTTTTATCGAGAAGAAATAGTAGTAGTAGTAATTATTTAAATATATACTTTAATAAATAAGATGTACGATGTAAAGTGGACTATATTTTCAATTTTAACAAAATGTCGTATATCAAGGTTTCCGTAGTGTAGCGGTTATCACGTGTGCTTCACACGCACAAGGTCCCCGGTTCGATCCCGGGCGGAAACAGTTGTGCTTTTTTTTCTTTTTTAATGTTTTTACTAAAAGTAGTACATTAGAATAACGTTTATATATTTTTTCACATATCTATAATTTTTCAAAATTTCAACCTGTAGAAATTAGAATTTTATATACACGTATTACACGTATTACTGAGAGTATAAATAATTTAAAAAATTACTTATTGCATAATACTCGAATATATCAGCATACAAGTACTTACGATTACAATTCCTTTTTTTTTTATTACAATTTGTACAATATTATATCGAAAATACAGAATTGTATTATGCAATTATAGAACTAATTTAGGAATAGATGGCGCGTAAATGCATTTTTTTATATAACCACGAAAATTTATTCTTTATAAATGAATAAGAAGACGTAAAAAATTGTGATATTATTAACATGGAATACTTAAAAATATCAATTTAAAGGCACATTATCCTGCTCAAAATCTAATTTTAACACATTATTTATTACAAATTGTATTAATTCAAAGTGTTCATATTTTTTCTTTAAATTAATTTTTAATCTAATTGAATATAGTTTTTCCTTTCATTGGTCAGCTATACGAAAATAGTTTCGATTCCTATCGGTCATTTCTAGTTCGTGCCGCGCGACTGTTTATCATGGTCCATCGTATATTTTAAGTCCTACTTTATCGCCGCGGCGCGTAATTACAGTGCAAGTTTACGAGAGCCCTGAACTAGCCTTAAATCGAAATTCGAATTACACCGCGAAACGACCGTCTTCGATGACGCTGTAGCATTTAATCTTTCCTATTTGACGCTCCTTTTCTTTCCTTCTTTGCCACATCGAATCGGTCAATTTTTCGAATACAATGCGTCTATTTTTACAATGTTTGCATCGAACGGTTTTATGATCACTTTATACTCCATCGAAGTTGCACTTAAAGCTGGACAATAATTTTTGCTCTATTTTCGCGTTACAGGATACACTCCTTCTCGCCGTTTCGACGATTTGACGTGGAAAAAAAGTTGCTGCCGCTTTTTTCATCTTCCTGTGAGTCATGTATACACGCTTTTTTATGCTTTTCGGCTGAACTAGTGTTTTCAGCGGACGAATTATACACGGTGACAACGGAAAAATCGAAAATAAGCTTTTCAGTGTGTTTCATTAATTGTGGTCACGAGAATCGTACGCGTAACAATGTTGTGCAAATTATATAGGGTGATTCGATAGTTACAGCAGTGATGTGAAATATAGCGGGTGACTCGATAATAACGATCACCAAAAAGAAAGAAAAAAATCCCCAAAATAAGGATACACAAAATTTTCTCTCCACAAAAGTTTAACCTTTAAGGCGAGTTTCCACCGAACAATGTCAACAAATTTCTCACGCGAAAATCTCAGGAATCAGCCAAGTCTTGGTTCATTAATTCGTAATTAGCGCATAACGCCAGGCCCGATGGCTATCGCGGTGTGCTAGACTAATTGCAAGGCCGATTTTCAACGCGAGAACTCCGACGTGGTGCCGCATTGTCGCTCGAGGCAGCAAATTTGTTAGAACCGGTATCCGTATATCTAATTAAAGGCAGAGAAAAAGAGAGTGTGTGTGTGTGTGTGTGAGAGAGAGAGATAGACTATAGTGCTTTCTATAGTCTATAAGATAGTCCTCTGGCTAGGTAAGAGGGCTGAAGAAGACTCGAGAAAGGACACGGTTTCGCCCTAATGAATGAGAACGTCGTACAGCCCTAAGACTGCGCTACTTCAAGCGACAAAGAGAGGCTGAAACGCCTCGAGTTCTGCAAACCATTCGAGAACGCGTTACGTTTCTCAGCTGTCCTCGTGGAAGACACGTTGAACCTGCTTCTTTTCACTGGGCGTTGCGTTGCGTTGACCCTTGCCTGCATCTCGTAAACGTCTCCGTGCTCTTTGGAAATTTATGGCATCGTGTCTTATAAGCTTTCTTATACATGTATAGGGATGCAAACTTTCCTTTCTGCCGTACTACGAAACGAAATTTTATTTCGAACAAACTTTTGAAAGGTTAGGCTCTAAGTCGTATATTTTCCGTTTCGAAATATTTGAAAAATTTCGTTTCGGTGTATCGCCGAATTCTGATTGATTACAGAGCTACCAATTATTTTTCAAAAATCATTTCACATTATTGTAACGTAAAAGTGATCATTTCAATCTTTTCGATAACATTCTATCGACGTGGAAGATTTTGTACAGGTTAGGTTTGTTCGTTCTTGTAAATTAAGTGCATAGGTTATAGAGGGCGTTTCAAAAGTGAGGTTATAAGTAACCTCGTATTTAAATATTCACGGAGTTGTGGATATTTTTATGGAAACATCAGGGTGTTTCAGAAGTAAGTCTCGTGTGAAATGACAATAATATTCTGTGATATATTTGCAAATTTATTCAGGGTCGCCGATAAGAATTCTGTAATAGGTTATCATCATTTAAATACGAATAATTGGGTGTATTTATACATATATGTATATAAGGTGTTTAAGAAATAAGCGTTACACGGAATAGCAGTAATACTGCAGGGCAGTTGTATATTTGTAATTGCAGAAAGTTCATGGCATGTTTCAATCATTTTCACGTATATACAGGGTGTCTGAAAAAATAAATCTCACAAAGGCTAAAAATAATAGCCTACAAAAGTCGTACATATTTATTCGCAACATCAGGAAAACTTTTCCCATAGATCACCACCATTTTCACGTACACAAACGCACGAAAAAAAAATATAAGAGTGTTTCCACAATAAAGTTCGATAATACGAACAAAAAAAAAAATTGTTGCGATTTTCACGAATACGTACAAGGTGTCTCAAAAAATAAACCATTCCGAGAAACTACATATGTAAACTGTATTAACAATTAAATAAAAATGCACACTTAGAAACACTATGGAGAATTTCATGTTGCATTAGTATTATTACTCGAACGTTTCGTACATCCTTCGACAACGTCGCGAATGGGACATGCTAGAGAGGAAGAAAGAGGGAAGCACGCAGCAAACGCGAGTGGGAGTGAGAGAGAGAGAGAGAGAGAGAGAGAGAGAGAGAGAGAGAGAGAAACACGCACGCAATGGGGGTTTATGTAACTCGGGCATTAGTGACTGTGACGTCACGACGCCGCGACGCGATGCAACGGTTGCACACGGTCGATAGTGCAGTCAACTACTGCATTATACGTAGTCGACCACCACAGATCCATGAATTACGCACATTCGAGAGATCCGTCATAGAGTTTCCTACAATCGATCGATATTTTCCTATCAATTCATTTTCATCCGTCTCCCAATTGGTACATCTCCCTGGTCACTTTAAATTCGCTCTGTCTCCGAAGGTGACTGTAAGATTCAGCTATTTATAGTCACTTGCACTTCGTTTAACCTAACCTAACCTAACCTAACGAGTGAGTGTCGAGGACCGATATTTTTAGCGAATTTTCGCATTGGGTTGTGTGAATGGAAAATTTACACAGTACGTGTAAGAAAAATTGTTAATT